AAATTTTGAATGTAAGTCAACAAATGCAATGACATGGCCTTTGACCTGTGACCTGTCTGGAAAGGGTCATGAGAAGTACAATACACAAATCTCATTTACTTATAATTTTTTTTGATACCAGTTATATTTATTTAGGTTCTTAGTGCCTCAGATTTACCACTCAACAACTATGGGGTATAAACCAGTTGAAAGTAACATGAAGAATGTTAATGCTACACATTTATACCAGAAGCTACAGGACCTCACCTCATCATCAATTACTACATCAAAGCTCAGATCTTCATCACCTTGTGAACTAGGGGTTGGAACACTTGTCCGTCGGCAAGGGTCTTCCCCACTGCTACTTATACTAGAAATATCAATATTGTTCAGAAAAATGTAAAAAATATTAAAGTCCAGTGTTTTATTATGGAAATTAATTGTACAAGTTCACTAACGGAGAAAACCTTTTGTATAATCTCATTACAAAATAACAAAAATTCCTACAACCTGTTTGTAATGCAGTTAATGCCCCTCAGTGCAAGATAACTCAAACTGCTAAATGCTAAAACATGTTATCTTCAAAATATGACACATGTCAATAAGTGAAGGTAATAAATTAAAAACAGAGTACAGCCTAGTTATAACTGTGTTGCCAGAACTGTAAAAACAGACATATCCAACTAGGCTGTACTCTGTTGTCAGAAACTGTAAAAACAGACATATCCAACTAGGCGTGTCTCTGTTGTCAGAACTGTAAAAACAGACACATCCAACTAGGCTGTGCTGTGTTGTCAGAACTGTAAAAACAGACACATCCAACTAGGCTGTACTCTGTTGTCAGAACTGTAAAAACAAACATATCCAACTAGGCTGTGCTGTGTTGTCAGAACTGTAAAAACAGACATATCCAACTAGGCTGTACTCTGGTGTCAGAAATGTAAAAACAGACATATCCTGACAGTTGTTGTAGCCTTGAATCTGAATCTTCAAGTCAGTTTCTGTTTCCAAGATCCGTCTGTAGTGAGCTGCATCCAGTTGTTTTCCTTCCGCTATTCTGTCGAACAGCTGGTGCTATGAGTAAGAATATGTAGTAACTATTTACTCACAATTATATTTTATTTTATCAAACTTCAGTTCAACAGAGCAGATGTAAAGATTCTACTAGCATTCGAAATCAAGATATACACCATATTTTCGTTGTATAGAGAAGCTTTATCCGTTACTGTAACTTGACGGTACTGTACCTGTATACATACTTTCTTTGATAAAATACCTGAGAGACAGTATTTTACAAATTATTCTTATATTAATTACTTTATGATAAAAAAAGTTTCCAAAATATTTTTTTTTATCCCAAACATTCCCCTTTTTTTTCATGAATTTCAGGGGTGATGTTTGTTTGTTTATTGTTAAACACTAAACTACATAACGGGCTATTTGTGCTGTACCCACCACAGGCATCGAAACCCAATATTAAGCATTGTACACTGACTTGCCACTGAGCTACTGGGGGGCTATGGGTGGTACGAGACATTTCTAAATCCTGACTGAACTTTCTAAATAGTACAAAATGTTTTAGTGTTACTAACCTTTCCAGTTGTCCTTGGTGTCAGTTTTCGCTTCATACCGTCGACTCTTCTGTGAAAACAAATAAATTTCCATAAATTCAAAACACTAATAAACACAAATGTCTTTAAAAACAATTTGTTATAGGATTCTGTTTAGAGTTAAATACTATTGGTGATTCATTTCAGTAACCATGACAACAGCAAATTGTTGATACACTTGTAAAAATACACATACAACTGACGATAAGTTATTCCAAGACAAACAACATTTCTAAAAATACACACAACTGATGACAAGTTATTCCAAGACAAACAAATATACTGAAAATGTGATTGTGTTTGTTACATTTTTTTACCCCAAATGTAGCAGTGTTATTCATATCACTGGGAAAAGAATATAACATAATGCTGGCACATTTTAGATATGTATCTTTAAATGAAGGTATTCTGCTTATGTGCATAAACACACTATATTGTACAAACAATGAATCAAGTGACTGCCTGAGTCATATTAATACAAACATATACACATATAATGGTTAGTGAATCATATAAATGCAGACATTTATTCATATAAAGGTTAGTACACAGCAACATAGTAAAAAGTTATATGTCAAGTGACTGCCTGAACCATATAAACAGATATGTATGTACATAAAGGTTAGTGTACAACAACATAGTACACAAGTGATATGTCAAGTGATTGCCTGAACCATATAAACAGATATGTATGTATACATAGGTTAGTGTACAACAACATAGTACACAAGAGATGTGTCAAGTGACTGCCTGAACCATATAAACAGATATGTATGTATATAAAGGTTAGTGTACAACAACATAGTACACAAGTGATGTGTCAAGTGACTGTCTGAACCATATAAACAGATATGTATGCATATAATGGCAATCATATAAGATAATTGGAATAAAGTACAAGGATTCCTTGATTTTCATAGTGACATAATAGTGGGTATCCTTAAAAAATTGACTAACTTTTCAAAGACACCTAGCATTAGAGCCAATTAGTCAAAAGAGAATAAACGGGTTATTAAAGAAGACTACTGTCAATAACTGATAGTGACTGAAAATAGAAATATTTATTGGATTGGTTTGTAAACAGTAACAGACTTCAAACTGACCAATTCCTTCAACAGTGCTCAGGATGTGAATGTCTTTAACCATATAATGTCAAAGATAGTGCAAAAACTGTCATTTCTAGACACAAAACTGCATATCTTAGCTTAAACAGTGCTCAGAGTAAGAACTGTGAACATTTAATGAATGAAGACGTGTGATCTGATGAGTCATATATGATCCCTTTCTATATCAATGGAAGAATAAAAATATGAACAAACTAAGTTAGAATCTCGAACCCGCTTGTGTCATTTCAACAGTTTAAGAACTTAGAAGTGATTTAATGGTGGTAGAGTATTCTCGGGTCAGAAGTTAAGTCCGATGATTCCTTCAGAGCGTTGTTATCAATCACATACCACCTCACAGTGCTGGACTTTTAATATGATAAACAAGCACTTTTCTAGCAACCTTATACCATTCAAACATTGTTTGAAGACCATAAAATGACTTCAACCACTTTCTTTGACAATCACCAGATCTTGAAACAGGTGAGCATCTTTGGGATGAGCTTGAATGTTATATCCAATACCTTTGAGATATCTTTAACAAGGGACTAGAATCACTCAAGACAGCAACTGGAATCTATACCATGCCAAGTATCAGGACAAACTAAACATTAAGTAGGGGTTGTACAAGTTTGAACAACAAACACTGAAGTATCTACCCACATTTGAAGTTTTATGGATAACTGAAGATAATAATATCAATTACATTTTGTATATTTATATGGTAGAGCTATAAGACACGATGATCTACAAACAGTAAGTCACACATGTCTTATTATAAGAATATGGATTCCTAAACTAAGTATATTCATGTGATACTCTTGTACTACTAGCCTTGAAGAAATTTTAATGGTGAAACATCGGATGAGATAAAAAAACTATTTTTTATTATCTGGTGAGTAAAGTTTCCTTTTTTTTTTTTAACTTTTGCTGCCAAAATATGCTTTTTATGGTAGTGTAGTAAAATTATTAAACTATTCACGGCATGCCATTTAAATGTTGGAATAATGATGAAGTCTTCATATAGCCTTTAAATATTTTTAATCCATAAATTTGCATATTTTTAGAAGCATCATCAGTATTATTCTGACCATCACATTATTGTAATGGCCACTAATGAATATCTACATATACAATAAGTTACTCAACTCACAAATAGACAGTGAAAGTTAATGTCATTTGTTTAATTCAGATACTCAAAATATTCATTTTAGATACTTTTAAAGACGCATACAATGTGCAAATGCAAACTAAGTTTAGGTGCTCTATTAATCTCATTTTTACATATCCCATAAGCAGATTGAACATGGGATCTCTCACATGAACATGCGAATGCTCTTCTAATTGAATTAAAGATTTAAATAAGTAGCACCTACTACTCTGTACCACCTTAATGCTAACAGCACCTCAATTCTATAAGTAGCACCTACTACTCTGTACCACCTTAATGCTAACAGCACCTCAATTCTATAAGTAGCACCTACTACTCTGGACCACCTTAATGCTAACAGCACCTCAATTCTATAAGTAGCACCTACTACTCTGTACCACCTTAATGCTAACAGCACCTCAATTCTATGTTTTTTGTTGTTGATAATGTAAATATCATTTATTGTTCCACTTTAGGTTTTAAAATCTCACTTATCTTTCAACAAATGATCATGATGCCTTAAGTTTCAATCATGAATCCTTAAGAAAAGCTACTGTTCATGTTGAGAACGACAGGAATTATTATTTTAATTCCATTTAGATAGCTATCACACACACACACACACACACAACAGAAAGTTAACATCTATGTAGTGAATAATTCTAACAGAAGAACAAAAACTAACATATAAATGGCCACTGATTATGTGTTGTTTTAAACAGTAAATAAAAATCCCTGTCCTAACCTGTTCTTTGTCAGAAGAAAGAGGAGAACTATCTGAGCTACTTTCTGGTGTGGAAGGGATGCTAGTTCCTCGCAGAAGGCCTATCGTCTCATGCAGTTTATTCTCTACCTGTAAATATCATTAACAATAAGAATGGTATTACATATAGCTGCTGTTTTGTATAATTTAATATACCCCCCCCCAAAAAAAAACCTTCAAAATGGAAGTATGAAAATAAATTTACACAGTGTATCTTTTTTCATGCAATTACTTTTATAGCAATAAGTGTATGAGAATCTATTTTCTGTAACACTGTCACTAAATTTATTCAATCCACCCACTTTTTAGAGAATATATCAACCTCCTCCATTGTAACTAAACAATAAATGAGGTCACCAAACAGTAAACTGCATAGCTTATTCTTAAGTTTCTTATATTAAAGAAAAACTGAAAAGTCTTAAAAATATTGACTATTTTTTTATAAAGTTTACGTTTACCTCTGAAGTTGTTTGGCTATCTCCGGCCAAAACTTCGTAGAAAGAGAAAGAAATCCACTCAATTGGACATGTTTTCGATATCATCACTTCCATAAATTTTAAATGTTTATAAGCTACCCAATCAACGTACATTTATAATAAAAACAAATGAGGAGTGTGTCATATTTTTTTCATCATTTCAAAAACTCATAACTGATGACAAAACACTAGTGTTAGTGTAAATATTTATTAATAAGCATTCTTTCCTACCTTTCCAAGTTCTTCTGACACTTGCTTTCTTTCCACCTCACTTTTAATTTTCTCATGAAATATCTGCTCTTTTATTGATCTTTGTTGTTCTGCTAGCTCTTGCAATTTAGTCTATGACAATAACAAAAAACATGGATAATATATTATTAAACAGGACAGTAAGTAAACTTAGATATTAATCTAACAAGCAATTGAAACTATATTATTAAACAGGACAGTAAGTAAACCTAGATATTAAACTAACAAGCAATTGATACTATATTATTAAACAGGACAGTAAGTAAACCTAGATATTAAACTAACAAGCAATGGATACTATACTATTAAACAGGACAGTAAGTAAACCTAGATATTAAACTAACAAGCAATTGATACTATATTATTAAACAGGACAGTAAGTAAACCTAGATATTAAACTAACAAGCAATTGATACTATATTATTAAACAGGACAGTAAGTAAACTTAGATATTAATTAAACAAGCAATTGAAACTATATTATTAAACAGGACAGTAAGTAAACTTAGATATTAATCTAACAAGCAATTGAAACTATATTATTAAACAGGACAGTAAGTAAACCTAGATATTAAACTAACAAGCAATTGATACTATATTATTAAACAGGACAGTAAGTTAACCAAGATGTTAAACTAACAAACAATGGATACTATACTATTAAACAGGACAGTAAGTAAACCTAGATATTAAACTAACAACCAGTGGATACGATACTATTAAACAGGGCAGTAATAAACCTAGATATTAAACTAACAAGCAATTGATACTATATTATTAAACAGGACAGGAAGTTAACCAAGATGTTAAACTAACAAACAATGGATACTATACTATTAAACAGGACAGTAAGTGAACCTAGATATTAAACTAACAAGCAGTGGATACGATACTATTAAACAGGGCAGTAATAAACCTAGATATTAAACTAACAAGCAATTGATACTATATTATTGAACAGGACAGTAAGTTAACCAAGATGTTAAACTAACAAACAATGGATACTATTATTATGAAACATGACAGTAAATAAACCTAGATATAAAACTATCAAGCAAGGGATATTATACAAAACATCAAATTAACAAGTATAAAAAACAAAATAACTTGGCCATTAAACTAACTAATTGCATGTAAAGAAATAATACTTCACTTTTCCATGTTAGAAAAAACTGGCTAAGAAAATCTAGCACTTCTGTAGATTTCAAAATCTATATACAGTTAGAATAGTGAGTGATAAAAAGTAGTTATAATAATTTATTTAAATTATAAACATCATGGCTTCATATAAAACAATTATATCCATTTTCTGTTCAAAATATGAAACTAGTATGCATGTTCCAAGATCTCGATATGAACTTAGAAGCTTTAAACTAAAGTACCATTAATTCATAATTTTTCTTAAACTAAAGTAACATGAAAATTCATGCAGAATTAAGGTTTTGAAGTTTACATCACTATCAGATCTGTATTTTCTTCTAAATGACTGGTGAGTCATGCTATGAAGTACAGAACTAATCCTTAATACATAACTTTCTATATCTACATAACTTATTCCAACAATATGTTTAACATGGTTTGAAGGTTCTTCACCTGTCTCTCATGAATGTAATTTTTAAGTTGCTCAAGTTGAAGATTCAAAGCATCCTTTTCTTCTTCAAAATGTGCTTGGTGTTCAAGATGTTGGAATTCAAGATCCTCAAAAGCTTTTTTCTTAGTTTCCAACAGCTCAGTTTCCTGTTTATAATGTTCCTGAAATGTTTCATCTTCTTGATTCACATCTTGACACTTGGAATGTTCCAATGTTTCTTCATTTTCATTAAGTAGCTTCTGGAGCCCCAAAAGCTCTTCTACTTTTTGATGCTGTTCCTGTAAGATTTTTTTTGCCTCATCTAGCCGATCCAGGTCCTAGTTATTCCAACGAATTAAAAAAAAATTAATTACTCACCACAAAGTATTAAGCACAGTGCTTATCTAATGGAAATCCACTACACAAATTATGTTTTCATTGTATTAATTTTCTTCTTTAGGAGTCAGGGATACGAAAGGAAGAAAGAAACAGTTATCTTTATCTTCTATTAGCTTTAAGAAATATTTTATTTTCACACAAATATACGAGGCGTTTGTCTATTTCACAGATTAACCCTTTCGCAACAGGTGGGTCTAACTGCACATGTAATGGTTTTTTAATGATTTATTTTCAAAACTTTATTAAGTAACTGTATTATTACTATATATCAATAAAATCGGCATCAAAATGTTGCTTATATTCCAAATTTTAATATTATATATGTTTAAATTTCTTAATTCAAAATAAAATAGAAATAAAATAAAGAGAAACATTGACTTGTGTGTGCCACATAGCACCACCTTATGTCTTGATGCTCAGTTTATATTTTTTTACGCCTACTATACATGTCTAAAAGTGGTTAACGAATTAGAAACATGAATTTTAGGTACAGGTAAGCTAGAATATAAATCTAGAACCTCCCACCACTTTGATTTGCTGAGAAATCAATGTATCTAGCAAATCAACTAAATTGGCTCCTCCTCCTACTACTCCATTCTTTCCAAACCTCTTCTTTAGTTCCACCTACTTTTCTTAAGGGTCTGTTTATAATCAATAGAAAGGAAAAGTTGTGCTTTACGTGATTCTGACAGTTGTTTATAAAGAATTTGGAAGAAAGAATAATAATTTCACCAAGACTGTTGAATGGTGATGACCAAGTTGTTGCTCTGAGCAGAGATAAAAACATTTTAACACATATATACTTTATTTATAAAGCCAAGCAAGTTACAGATGTACTAGAAGAGTAAAATAATATATTTTTTCACTCTAAAATGTATATTTGAAGCCTACAAAAATTATATTTCTTGACTCTCCACTCGAAAAAATAAATGAGGCTTAGCACAAAAGGCAAACGAGGGCAAAATATTTTCCTGTCACCAAAATTTATCGTAAGTATTAGAAATCAGTTTTTCTATGTAATTTTCATATATTGTTCACGTTTTAAGAAAAATAACTATAATATAAGCATTTATGAGTAAATATATGTACATATATACGTAACGTATGGCAGCCGAAATATCAGTGTAGTTTGTAAAATATTGGTAATACAGTTAGATTTGTACTTTGTATTTGATTCTGTATATATATAGCATAAGTTATTATTACTTACTTCAAGGTAAGAGTCAGTAACAACTCGAGGTGTTTCACAACTGTAAGGGAACTTCTAAACTACACTTTAGCTGTAAAAGTAAGAATGTTTTCCAAAGAAGACTACATTTATAAGGCTTGTGAAACTAAACAAGTGTGATAAGTAGTACCGAAACTAGAGTTTTTATTGGTTGACGAATAAGTGCTGAAAAGGAAAATAGGATTTTATAAGCATGTGCTCAAATAACGTTTTTGCACACCTATGCTGCTAAATTCCAAACACCCCGTTGCAATGTTTATTGTATTGGCACCAAACCACATAATAAATGTTGTGACAAGTTCAAAGTGCAGTGTTGTTACTCTTGAAAAGTCTTGTTGTGAACACTGTAGGATACATACATAAGCTGATAAGTTACGCATCCTGTTGTCGGCATAAACGTTTTCACTGATTCTAAGTGCAGTGTGATTACTCTGAATTTTCCAAGAAAACATTTAGCATATATGATCCGATAAATTACACATGTCCTGTTGTCGGCATAAACATTTTCACTGATTCTAAGTGCAATGTGATTACTCTGAATTTTCCAAGAAAACATTTAGCATATATGATCTGATAAATTACACACATCCTGTTGTCGGCATAAACATTTTCACTGATTCTAAGTGCAGCGTGATTACTCTGAATTTTCCAAGAAAACATTTTAGCATATACAATCCGATACATTAGACATCCTGTTCTTGGAGCAGGGGTCGAGTCAACTATCTTTTCACATGTGCTTTATTGTTTTCAGGAGTATCGTATTAAGGTGGTGGTATGGAAACAGTCTACTGACACAAGTGGTGATTTATTGGTTTATTTTCAGCGGGGTTGTACTTTTGTTGTTGACAGTAAAAATAAACACAAAAAATAAATGTGAAATGTTTAGCAGTTCAAACTCGTAAGAGAAGTACTTTGAAGCTTTGTGACCAATAATAACGAAAAAAGGCACATCTGCTCCTTTTATTTCTAATTTTACAACTTATCTTTTCATTATACTTTTGGGATTTGTCTACAGGCTGAAGACTCAAGTATATCATTAAATATCCGATAAGATATAGTTTTACTGAAAACAAACGTTTGAAATGTATTTAGGAGGTTTTAAAGATTAAACAAAAGAAATTTGAGATTTTTGGGATGAAGAATAGTATTTTTAATAATAACATGAAAATCACTTTCTCTCGAGTTAGTAACAAAACAGACTCAATATATTCACAAACAAATCTTTAGTAAAAATACTTCATTAAAAAATTTGATTTTTTGGGTACAAAAGGCTTGTAATGTTTACTAAAGGTATACCAAATTTTGTAAAGATACACATCTGAATTAAAAGTTATAGTATAAATACTTAATGTGTATACGAACTCGTGTATATTATACCGAGCCCACTGCGAAAGGGTTAACCTGTGACTTACATAACTTCTTGCAGTCCTAACTTGTTATAGTAAGAAACCAAACTAATGATCTAAATACTGAAATTCGGGACTAATTGATACAAAGGAAGTTTATGTCATGAAAAACCAATCTACTTATGATTAAAGATTTTTTTTAAACTTTAGGATGAACTGTAAAATGTAATAAATGGAGTTCGAGGCATGAGGAACTGGTACAAGTAACAGTATATGTGTTTGAAAGCAAGAATTAAAGGAAAGATAGCTCAATAAGCCAAATTTCTTTTGTTATTAACAGTTAAAAATTGCGAATTGCATCTGTAACATACTTGATTTTCTGTTACTTTGTTTGGATAAAAAAAATATCCTACAATCTATACTCAATCAACTAAACGAATCTTACATAAAAATATAAATTGTATTAGCTAATATTATTACTAAATATATAATAAAAAGTTATAATGGAATCAAACCTTTAAAATGGTGACTCATACATTACTATCCATACATACGAGTGCATAAAGAATGTCAAGACGTCACTCAACTATCGAAATGTTGCTTTTCCTGCTGTAGGGACTTAAAAGTACAAAATAAAATTGCCCTAAACCAACTTGTACTAATTTTCACTATATATGAGAAAGGAAATAGAATTTCAGAAAAATTGACATATGTATGGTATTTTGTTTTATGTGTATATATCCATAATTACCTATATTTGAAAACATATACTTACCTTATTCACATTTACAGTGCTAAATGTAATCATAAATAGTATGCCTAAAACTCGTTATTAACTTCATATCCAAACTAGCTACCTACATAGCAAGGTTCAGAAGTCAAAATTAACCCAGTAATTAGCACAGCTCATTTAATATACCATTCTAACAAGGTGGACACAAAGTGATAAAACTAAAACCTATAAGGATTAGAGTGTGTTAAATCATCAGCTCTTAACAATTTACCTGTTGATATCTGTATGGTGTTAACACGACTTGTTGATATCTGTATGGTGTTAACACGACTTGTTGATATCTGTATGGTGTTAACACGACTTGTTGATATCTGTATGGTGTTAACACGACTTGTTGATATCTGTATGGTGTTAACATGACTTGTTGG